GAGGAGGTCACACCTGTGTTTGTGGACGTGAATACACAAAGAAACACACATACCATTATTACATGTTTATACATTCCAGTGTTTATCCACTGCGACCAATCATTTCGCTTAATTTAAGCCTGTTGTTTTATATTGTTTCATAAATACTGATCAGACTGAATTTGACCTTGAGAGTAAAGAATTCCTCATTCAAGTTAACAATTACAGGAATATTTGAAAGTCTGAAAGTCTGTGCATTTGTAGTCCTGTTCACCTGCTCACTTGCCTTTTACTCTGTATTCACCAGTGCTGCTGACCTTTACAGTTAATGGATGGTGCAGAGGTCATACACTCATGTAAAACTTTAAAAATCATGGCAAAACACACACAAGTGACAGCTGAATATTGTGAATGTTTCATGTTTGAAGTTTACATTGATTTTGTTTCATCCAGCCAATCACATCTGCCCTAATACAGATCGGTGGCCAAAAGTATTCATCTCCGTTTCTGTTTTATTGGGATCGTGAGGTGCCGGATTCCCACTGAGGAGCAAAGCTGCTGTTCTACTCGAGACAGATCTTAAGGAAGGTTATTCCGATTGTGAGGTTACAATAAACGTGATCGTTATATATCGTAGCTTTGTTTTATTTTGCATAGGATGTGTAGAAGAGAGACGTGTTGGCAGACTGTGTTATAGTTCAGATGTTTTGGTGCTCCGACAACTCTTACACTTTGTTCTTGGTTCGGTCTTTTCTTTTGCTAAAGGAACATTTCAGTTCAGTTATGTGCTTATAAATCTCTGTTTTACATGTCATTGTATGTTAATTCCAAACATAAATGTTCTTTATTGATTTGTGGAAGAGTTCACGCCCATACAGCACATTTGGAAGGAAGTGGAAGCCAAAACTTAGACCTGAATTGATATTGCTGAACAAGTAAATGTCTTCAGTCAGACTGAAAAACATCAGCTGGGCAATGAGGAAGCTTTTACACCTACACATTAATGCTCAGAGTTTTTCTTATTATCTTAAGCAGTGTAATATCCACATAATTCTGCTCATTATCTGTTTATTTTTTGAAGATTTAAAACATCAGAGTTTAAGTTACAGTTTACCTTGTGTCCTCTGCATGCACAGAGTTTCATCGTAAATGCAGAAATAGACACTCCAAGCAAACATCCCAATCATCAAGGCATGACATATACAAATTTAAGAGAATAAAAATATTCCTGCACTATTTACTGTAAATTCAGAGGCTTTATTTGCAAGTCTTGCAACCTGGATGCCCTTTAATATGTAAGTGTTGGCTGGACTATGCTGGTGAGATAAATGTGGTTATTCATGAGGTTTTCTGTGGAAATAATCATACTGTGTGGTAATTATTAGTCAGGCTTGTTTATATTTCTGCAGGGCTCCCATAGTGTTTAATAACAGCCTGAAATCCTTAATTGGCCCCTTTAAAGTGAATGTAGAGGTACGTGCCTTCATAGGATCCTGTGTTATTTGTAGCTGTTTAGGTGTTTTGCATCTTAGAGATGACATATAATACTTTAATCACATGTTGATTAAAGTATACATACAGTATTACACAATGTCTTTTAACAGATTATGCACAGGGTAGATAAATATCTCAACTATGTACAGAATGATAATAATGACTTTTACACTGGTGGTGTTTTTACTGAAACTGTGCAATGTTAGATCTGTGCACGAGGCACCCGACTCCAAAAGATTACTGTTCAGAGAGCACTGACAGTTTGGTTTTGTTGTTTAGAAATGTTATTTGGTTTATGAGTGACATTAATGGGTCAGCACACTGAGACTGTAACGGTCTTACAAAGCTCGTGTGTGTAAAGCAAAATGTATATTTCCCATCAGTGTTTATGGTGTTTGTTTATGTATATAAGAGAAATGAGGCTGGATATGGGATCAGGTTATTTTGAAATGTGTCTTAATCAGTGTTAAAGTAAAAATAAAACACCAAAATGTTTAACATGGATGATCTTTTTT